AAAAAATCAAAAAATGACCTGACGCACAAATTAGTTGAAATTGTCATAATTATTTATTAAAAATTAAAAATTTCATAAAAAATTATTTCCCTACAAAACACAGACAAATAAATATACGAAGTCTTAACAAGTTTTTTATAACAAAAATTGGTCTACTGCATGATATATGTATAATTAATATTTTACTCCTGATTATTGGTCGAAATGTATGAAAAACAAATAATAATAATTATAAATTATAATGTAGATATTTAGGTATTTTGTAAGCGACGGTTGTTTTGAAGATATCTATACGGTAAAAATCAGTAAAAAAAATTTCATGTCGGTCCTTTTAAAACTATATTCCCCATTTCGTGAATATTTTATGTGTAGTTTTTTGATCGTTTGATACTACGAAACTTGCCGATTGTCGTTTTTAAAGCGATGTATGATAAAATGTAATATTTACCGCGTGCGGTTATCGTTATTCCAAAACATTTTTTGTTTTTCGAGTTGGGACTCAGCGGCAACGGGCTCTTGTAATACTATAATGTGCCATACTTTAAAACGGTAAAAAAATGCCTTAGGGATAAAATGTTTTTTTAATCATTCCCGTACCGTCCTTAAAACTTTAAACGTTTATGTCTGTATAATGTATACAAGGTGTCCTACGATGATATAATCTTTATGATTTCTCGGAAAGCACCAACTAAACTTTTATCAACTATCCAAACGCCTTGCATAGTACTGTCACAAAAATGATGCTCCTAGCTCCCCTAGCCAAAGGTAAATATGGAATATCTCATAAACGGATCGACGGAAGTAAAAAAGGTCAATACCAAAATGTATTTAAACTAATACTCCGTCTGTTTACGGAGTTTATACCGTAAATTGCCGTTTGAATATTAAAGTTAGTTAGGCAGTCGTTTCACGTCCAACAATATGGTTGAAAAAAAAATCGATAATGCAATATTTTAAAGCTGTTTGCTGTTTAAATTCCGAAAAAGGTTAATACGCTAAATACTAATAAACTAGGAACTAAAAATGTTAGGTTAGGTTAGGTTTATCTTCGTAAGACACTCTGTATAATAGGTATAGCATGCGATACCTGATGTAATCGGTGTCTACTCAAAAAGTATTTCGAACGCCGGATCGCGAGAGGGGAAAAAACACGTATTTTTGAAACTGTTTAAACCGCGTAGTTTCGAATGAAAATAATATAATATAATTATATATATATATATATATATATATATGCCAACCCATGCGAGAGGTTATTAACTGCGGTACAAATGTGTACAAGACCCGCACAAACGATTCCGATGAAATCACGTGTGCGCAATTAATTCGGCGTTTTCTATTGGTAATTGTGTGTGAAAAATGGCGATATTTCGACAGCTGCTCCCACGTGTCTGTGTTGTTTAATTCGAACCGAACAAATTGATTGCTCGGAACAATAATTGTAGATATTATATTATGATAATTAGGGCCCGGAATTATATGCACTAAAAACGTACGAAATATGCATGCATTTATGCATTGATTATCGTTAAAATATGCAAACAAAAATAATTACAATAACTAGTCTCGACCGTATTATCTTTATCTAGAAGCGATTAGACAATATAAGAAAGCAAATCCCTCACGGATCATAGGTATGTGTGGGTAAAACCAACGAACAATAATAAAGCAAATGTGTTTGAAACACTCGGGTATTCGACTATAATAATGTAATGAAAAATCGTAAAATACAGACATATTGCTGCAGTACATATCAAAAGATGACAAAATATACAAAGTATAACTTTGTATTTCGGATCTATTGACTATAATTCCAATTCGTAGCTTATCTAGCTACTTTTTGGACTATTGAAAAATAAACATGCAAATGCATATGAATCCGGGCCCTAATGATAATATATGCATAGATACCTACAATTACACATTACAAAATTGGACCCGCGATTAGAGAAAAACGCTTCGAGATAGATCCGAATCGTTTTCGCTGATAGATTCGGCGTCTACTCGGGTACCAGTAGAATTTCGAGGGCTTTTCGTGTTAAGCCCCGTCCAGACTAGACGACCGGGAGACCGAAGTCACACATGACGACCTTATTTGGTGATGTTGATCAACGAGTACGAGTATCGTATGTGTGGACGCTGCGACCGAACGACGCCAACGGCGAATGAGCCTTTGGTCGCCTTCGCTCGGTGAGCGGTAAATCAAAGGAATTCGTTATCAGTTTGAACAAGATTTGTTGACATTTTAGTCATTCGTCAACATTCGGTTTTAACGGGTGTTATATAAATTTTAATAATATAAAATATTTTAATTCAATTTATTCAATAATAATCGAACAGTTTCTTATTTAAAATGGATTGAAGTGATAAAGGATGCTTTCAATTAATAAGTTTATATCAAGATAACCCAATAATATGGGACCCAACACATTTTGAATATAAATTGAACAAAAAGAAATTTGATATTTGGTGTGAAATTGCAAAAGAAATGAATGCTGAAGTTATTGATATTCGTAAAAAAATGTTTAAATTAAATTTGGGAAAATATAAAATAAATTGAGTGCGTTTGCAGCATAAACGAGCGAAGGTTTCCAAAGGCGGACTAACGACGAATTCGGAATGAGTTTGGACAGTATGCCAACGCTCTCACATCGAAGCACAGCCAACACCTAATGCGGTTACGTTGGCGTTCAGCTGCCTTGGTCGTCTAGTCTGGACAAGGCTTCAGACGACCCGAGTTAGTGATAGAATTAGAGCGTTGGAGCGTCGGCTAAAGGACTTTAAATCTAGTTAGAAGGAGTTACCGCAATCGTACTCATATCCCGCGGTGTGACTCTTAAAAAAATAAAGACGTTTTCTTATTTTAGATCTTTAATACTCTTTAATTCAGTTAATCAGTTCTTCGCTATTTTTTCTTTCGTATTGTAAAAATAACGATATTATTATTTCGAATGAAAGTAAAATATAGTATTAAGGACTATTATTTGTTGTGGACATTGGATTTCTTCACATTCGTTACGTCCGCGTACATTTATCTTGGTAATTAACTTCCGAGGTTAACCTGCTATTCTCATTAATATTTAAAGCCTCATAGAATCGTAAATCCCTAGCATACCTACGTGTCTATTTTGCCGGCAACCGTCTCATTATTCAAGTAAAATTACCAACGGACAGCCGTCAAATTTTGACGGGTTTTCTAGTAATGAAACAATATTATAGAGGAGAGAGGTTTGAGTCCACCACGGTCTGCACATATTTAGTAGAACAGCTTGACAAAATTAAATTTTTTTCTCGAATGCCTTACCTACCACTATACACTATAATATACACGCTATTAAAATTATCGAGCTTTCGACAATTCGCGCGATGGAATTTCGGCCCACGTATCGGCAATGCGGTAAAAATTAATTAAAGTGAAACCTCTGTGTATAGCTGAAACTCGCGGAGAATACAAATCGCGGTTAGCTTCGTGAAGAAGAGTACTTAGCATGGTTTGGTTTTATGAAAACGAAATTTATAAGTGTACGCAAGTCACTAGATAAGTATACGCCTCATAGCGGAAAAATAAAAATAAAATACGGAGAGCCGAAATCACTTTGAACAACCGCACAGTGTTTTAAAGTCGAAACAAGCTGGAATAAACTAATTATTTTCGAATGCTATATTATACTAAACCAAAAACCATCAGTTTATGAGTTAAAACCTTGAATCCAAATCGGGTATAAGTTTTAAAATTGATCACTTATTTAGGAGGGGGGGGGGTAGAGTTTATTTAAAATGCTTTTGTAATTTATGGTATGTTTTTTAGGCACCAGAATCCAAATTTAATACCATTTCTAAGATTCACCCTTTAAATAGGAGTAGAAGAAGTAATTTTTAAATTATTAATGATTTAGTGAGCGATTACATCAATAAATACTTCTTGAGGTACTGAAATCCGAATTTAACGTCGTTTTTAAAATGAACTATCAATGACATCGATATGATAATTTTAAATATAAATATAATAATATATAATTTATAAAATGTACAACAACGGTAAAGACACTAACAACTGCATACAATAACGTAAAAACTACGAGTAAAACCGAGGTATAAAAAATTATTTTTAGTCTCGACTAAGAATAGAGCAGATATGTGCAACCAAATTCTACACTATCAAATCAAAGCTATAGTATGTTAAAATCTATATCTCTTATTTTCCTTATTCTAAAAACTAAATATTGTCAATACCGTAATTGAAAGTCAAATTTACCACAAAATATAAAACTGTTGTTGACAAAACTATATTTTATAAAAATCTTTACCCTATACACTAACCATTATATAACAACTTCGTTTAGAATCGTGGTATTCGAATAATTTACGTATTAATGATATACAAAAAGCTAATATTTATGAACATTTTCTAAATTCCCGTACTTTTCCAACTTAAAATGTTTTTATTGATTCAGAGCGTATCGAGGAATCTATTGTTTTTACTACGATGTGGTTTTTTTAAACGTTTAGTTTGTTAAACGCAGGTATCCCTTAATAAGTTGTACCATATATATTGGAAAAGTATTTGTATTTATATAAAAATACTTTTAAAAGAAATTAGTCGAATCTGTAGGTATTTTGAGTGAAAAATACACAAGTATTCAAAAACGTATTCTAAACATATTTGAAAAGTATTCATAACAAATACGCCTGTAAGGGTTCCCTGACCCACCAAAAAAAAAAAAAAAAAAATGCAAACGGTCCAAAATTCAAACGCGAGCACATCAAAATAGTGCCATTGAAATATTACCCAAAAACTATTTCCAAAAAAAAACGCACCTATTAAAGACTATCTCTCAATGTTTATTTTTTGGTTTAATTAAATCAAGTATTTTGTGGGTCAAAACTGAGCGATTTTTTTCTTGACTGGCTTACTGAACTACCGATTTAAAATAGGTACCTAGAATTAGTATATACGTGCAAATTCTGCGTAATGTACTGCGGTAAAAATCGTATCTTTTTCACAAAAATCCGGCCGGATAACCGGACGATTCTTGCTCGGGTTGCGTCTCCACCAGAGACTGTATAATGATTGTAATTGCCTCGAGCTCGCACTTGACCGATATTTTTCTTTTCTCAACAGACGGCAATGATACTGTTAGAACACGAATGTATAGCGTAGTGGTGTTAAGGGTTTTTTTTCAGTTCAAAGTTTACTCGGTTCTCCAGACTTTTGTGCAAGCCGTCGTGACCTTTTTGCTCCCTCTCTTCTACCACCGCCTTCGTACTTGCAGTCGTCTACGGCATTTTCGGCGAGGACACCGCAGTACGTAGCATACTTTATGCCGGAAATCTTTTGAAAATATACACAAGTGCACATACGAGTAAAACGGTTATTTTTCCGAAACAACTACGTCTTCTCGCGACGAGAATAGACGACTATGACGCGGTCGTTTCCTCGTCACTATACTTGACCGTTCGTTGCGACGGCGATGACGGAAATGATTTTTGTTTTTTGTTTTGGTTAGGGTGCGTTTACGAGCCCTCAGGGACCTACGACGTCGTATTCGAACGAGTATTAGTCGCATTTCGGGATACGAACGCATATCGTTCGTTTTTGCCGGAGTATACGATAGAGTATACTCCTTATAATAATAATAATTATAATATAATATATCATAATACATTGTAATAATTTTATCGTTGTCGGAGGCCCAACATTATATCATAGAAAGGGTTTTTGGGGAAAGATATGGGAAGCAATATGTATATATTATTATAATAACTTGTTTCACGTGGTATTTCTCGGGAAACTCGCCTGCGCGAGGTCGGTGCCGGTTAATCGACCGGCACTCTCGTGACGTCCGGCCCCGAAGACTTACATTGACCCAACACCCGGACGTCCTCTAGACATCTAGAGAGCACTCACTCCATGGCTTCAAGATTGTTCATTATCAACAGTGGTTTTTTTTTTTTTTTGTGGTAGGTACTTCTATATAATTATGAAACAAAACGTAATTGTTTTAAAGATTTTTCCAATTTCTTTTTTCAATACAATTTTTTACAACAATCTTAAAATAATGTAGCTCGAAAAAACTATCGTACTAACCTACGATTTTTAATCAACGTATCGTGATATGATATCAAAAATATTAAATAGCTTGACAATATTTGTAGTTCATAAAATGACGTATTCACAAAGGATCCTAAAGATGATCTAAATTAATTAGTTATAAAGTCGCAAGGAAAGTAAATTTATTTATTTAGCTAGACATAACCTATACTCTTTTCAGAATAAGAACGCACCTCACTCCAATCAGAACGACGTTCGGACCTTTAGTGAATACCAAAATGTCTGTGATTAACAGCGGACTGTAGGCATCGATCGTCGTTTTTGGGCGGCCACGTCGAATTCAACGTATATGAATAGGATACATGCGTGAACTCTGATTGAAATTTGTTCGCTACTCCATCTGCTCTTATACTGCAGAAATTGTTATGTTATCTGCTTTAAATATGTTTTTGTTCATTTGATCTAATAAAATAATATTGATCCCTCAAATACCCTAGACCTCATTGCGCCACTGATTATCTATAAAATAGTTGGATTGCGATTCCCATAGACTTCAAATCATCCATTACCCTCCTACTGTCCTGAGAAAGCGTACCTATATTATAATACGAGACAAGAGTATATCTAGGAAGAGGAACGATCGACTGGCGATAATATAATAATCGTGATATCGTGATCGGAAACGATAGCACAGAACTATAATATATATTAAAAAAAAAGGTTAGTAATTAAAAATTGTATAGTTGTATGCAAGGCCGTCTACACATGAAGCCATTTAACAGAAATATAACTGGTTTTTGATTAAATAATTACTAATCTCTTTTTAATGTATTGATGACTCAGATTCATATATGAGGTTATTCATAATATTTCTACTCGTGATCGAAATCTGTAGTTTGTTTACTATCCATTGATAGTAGTATTAGAACCACTATCAATGGATAATTGGCGATAATATATACTACTGTTATAGAAGAAATAAAAAAATGTCCATCTTCGATTATTCGTTGCTGCAAGAGAACTAAATACTTAAAATTCTAAATGTGTATGTTTTTATTGCATGCCTAAACTTCATATTAACTTTTTGTTCGTTCATCCTCGATATATATTATACAGAATATGTGGAAAACGTAAAAAGCTTCATTGGCGGACGAGAAACTTAAGTGTCTCAACCCCCAATGGTGACTAGAAAATCACTAGGAACTTATCATTAACACGTTGGCAACCGGTTAATGACCAGTTGTGACATCTTCAGTGTCCCATTTTATTGCATAGGTCAACTCAACGTGGGCTAATTAGTTACTAGCGTAAAAAATCAGTCTATTCTGAGTAGCCTACTATGTCGACCGCCTAAATAATATAATTACTCACATGAATACAACTTATAATATTAATAATATAATTATTTAGTTAGGTTCATCCGCTTGTACAGATATTTAACAGTTCTCTGTTCCATCAATAACGCACTGTCGCCTTATCGAATTATCACGATGTAATAAACTAGATATGATGCACGTATAAATTATACGCATACATGTATCTATTTCACCACCCATCACTTCACCAAATAATATGGATCTGGTTTTTCACCGTTTCTTATTGGTTTACAAATACGTTTAACGTGATAACAAATACGTAATGCTCTAAGTAGCTTAATCACTTAGCAGTATAAACCACAGTAAAAACACAAAAAAACGTTTCCACAGAAAAATTAAACATTTATTTTAAAATCATTTTTCAGCTCAAAAATTAACGGCATAAAAAAAATAATTGTTGCACCGGAATTCAAAATACCGCCCGAAAAATTCAAACCAATCAGAAACGGCCAAAACACCTGCAGTACCAGTATGTGTTGAAACGTGGTATGAAACGGAATTTCCGTCTTTTGATACCGAACCTAGTTTATTATATCACGACCGGGCGTGTCTCTCCCAGAGACCGTACGATAGAGGAAAAGATCGCCCCTGGAAAGAACGAGCGTCTGCAGGGAAACCGTCATAACTTGCGCCGAGTTACAAATTTCCCGGAAAACGCTTTGTACTCGTCGGCGAATGAGGAAATAATACTCGCCGTGCCCTTCGAATTTACAATTATTTTGTTTGCTCGTATCGAGCCCCGCGAGCATAAATTCGACGGGTTTCGCGATTATTTACCCGTTCGTGTATACATGTATAGCGTTATTATTATTATTATTATTCCGGCGTACGTTTGGCAATTCCGCGGTTACACACCACAGATAATATTTACAAAGAAATCAAACGAATTATATTAAATTATATTTGATTAACCGCCCGCGTATACCTACAACCGCTTCTGTTACACTGTATATTGTACGTTATATTTAAATTACAACACACATGCGTGATACACTTATACGTCATACAAATGTACTCGTATGCACTTTCGTGCCGTTTGACACGCGATTATTATCAACGCCACGGATCGAGACGTAATTATTTTTGTAAACGGTTCGAAGTTTCAAAGTGCCGTTTCGTCGACGACTCGTCTGTTATTAGGTACCGGGGTATATTACATTTTATAATAATTTTGTTTAGCGGACTTTTATACGAAACGAGTTCTGATATCGTATATAATAATAATAATAATATATAGTTTTTAATGGAAACACGTTCGAATATACGAGGCACCTATATAATATTAGTATATTTATGGCACGATTTATATCAGTACCCACTGCAATTTGTAGTAAGTACGATAATAAATAATCACGACTCCGGGTCATGTTTCGTGAAAATAAATAAACAAATGTTCGGTTATTTATACGTAATATTATTATTATTATTATTTTTTTTTTATAAGACGTTAGGAAAGCCCACTCTGCGAGCGTAGGTACTAAATTATTCTCGGTTTCAAAACTTACAACGGTTTAATATTAATTATAATAATGTCATAATGTTTATAACGATACGATATTCATCACCGTTAAATATAATCTAAAACTGTACTTTTATGCACGAGTTGATAACTTATGATAAGGAGTAGATAAATTTTCATCTGATTTACGAAGAGTTTAGCAAGCGAACGGCCTTTACCGCCAAAGGGAGGTTATCAGTACGTTCTATCTCACAATATCTCAACCATCACATATTAAATGTCTACAAGTTTACTGAAGGCTTTATCTCTATTCCTCAGTATCATAGCCGAGGAGCAAGGCATTTAGTGTCTATCCCTATTAATAAGTTGCATTTATGTAATATATAAATTAAATTGAAACGATTTTGTTATAAGTAAATTTAAAAAGAAAATTTGAACATACTCTGTGCCATGGCCCATGGTTAGACTACTAGTGTAAGTGGATAGTACGAAAAGTAGAATTTGTATGGTATGTTAGCTTATACAATATACGTAGTGATAAATAATTGCAAACGAAAAACGATTCGGAGTGGAATAGTATTAATCATGTTTCGCTTGCAGTTGACGAAGTAACCCAAAAATCAATAACAGTAAATTAATAAGATGACCTGCTCAAAATGTCGATAAATTGTTTCAAACAAAATACCATTAGCTGGAAATCATAAAAAATAAGTGTTGTTCAAAAAAGAAAGAAAAAATAAACGCATTATTTAAAACGAACAGCTTCTTCATTGTAACATAGGCGGAACTATTCTAAACATCTGCTGTCCAAATATTTTTCCAAATTGAGAAAAACTTATTTTTAATTTATTATATGTATTTAAATTAATGCTTCGTCAAGTTAAAAAAAAAATATATGACTGTATTGATTTAATTTCATAAAAAGTAATGAACTAAAATTTTCATATTTCTGTATCTATTTTTCCAAACAACCAAATCGATCTTTAAAAGAAATCTCCTATAGGTGAATTATAGTTTGTAATTAGTATACCATACAATTAAAATCTAGCTCCACTTATGACTGAGAATCTAATAAATTCGTACTAACCAGTGTAGAAAATTATAAAAATATGAGTTTTAAATACGAAATCATACTAATCAATATTAGAAATTACTGGATAAGCTAACCTAATCTAATTTAACTAAATACTAATGAATATTTATTACGAAAGTATGGACACAGCGGGACGTAATCACGTATCAAAATCAATGTTTAGAAATTCAATAAACTTGCGGGATTTAGAAACCTAAACACGAAAACAGTAATTACAATTCCTATATTATATACTTAGATATAATTTTGGATGTTATTAACAATTATTTATTAGAGCATAAAATTATTATCAAATAGTATTTTATTAAATGCTGGATGGTTATTAGCAACGGCTACTTGTATTATATTTTTGAAACATCGGAGTTATTAAATCCTGTAT